TCTTGATTTGTATTAGATTTTTTTTCTTTTAAATATCTTAAGTTATTTAAAATATTTTAGTTTTTCATTTTTCTATTTTTATTATCTTAAGTTGTTGTCAGTCTTGTTTTAGCCTAGACCCATATTCACCATCTATTAGACGGTATTAGACGGTATTATATGCACGCCAAACACATACGTATTGCAAAGTCAATTTTTGCGTATCAATAGGCTACCAGTTTTCGTTTTTATTTGGCGTACTATTTATACGCATTTTCATAAGACCGGGCTCTCTATTCTTGGGCTATGGTTAGACGTCTATTAACGTTTCACTGACAGCCCAAATCTAGCCTTGTTTTAGACGTCTTTTAAACGCAAAATTGCTTGCTGGGTGGTGTGTCACACTGGATAATGTTTACTTGATCTATCAGCAAAACGTAGTTTATGCCTTGTGTAAAACGGAGGTTTTGAGTTCTCGTACTTTCAGTAGGCTTATTCATCACAGTACAATTTGTTGAGAATGTGGAATTTATCTCTCAATGTGACTTTGCTTTCACTTTCGGGAAACAACCCAACGTATTGAATTTTTCTTAGTGATTGATGACGTTGAATCTGTTCAGAATATCTATTGGCTGCGACTTCAGGATCTGCGATCACACAAGGGCCATATTTGAGCAGTTCGTAAACAAGTCTTTAGGCACCTGAAACGAGAGAACATATTTCTTGTACAACGATGTTTCTGTCTAACAAAAAAGTTAAAATGCAGATCGCAGTTCTTCTGCTCATTGGGATCCACTTCGTTCATGCCGGTGAGTAGAGAGTGGAAAATTGTTTGAGACTCAAGAGCAATTAACGTTAGCTACAAACTCAAATACCGAGTTTTTGTATTGCGATTGATAATATATATATATATATATATAAACAATAATAATAATTATGCTGAGAAACAGGAGAATAGGAATTGCAGTGTATTCCAAAACATGCGCGTGTAATAAAAGAAATAAATACATAGCCTAAATAGCCTATAGTTATTGTAGTTAACAAGTATATTTATTGGTTTGAGTTTGAAAATGTAAAACATATTCTAGACTCCAGCATGCTAGTGTGCTGTATTAGATCAGTTTCATTTCTGACCTGAGAAGCGTTGTTCTGCCCGGATACCGATGACACGCTACTTGCCTTTAGTCTGCTATTAATTAGGAATAAACCTTAGCTTTCTGATTGTCTTACCACGTGTTTTGGAAAAGGTCCATTACAGCATAATAAAAATCTAAATGATTTTTTTTTCATAAGACCCAAAGAACTGGAAAGAAAAGAAAAAACTGTTTGGCGTAGTGTTAGGGAATTTTGACTGCAGTGTTTTGTCCACTAGATGGCGATACAATGACACGAAACATTTACATTTACATTCATTCATTCATTTGGCAGATGCTTTTATCCAAAGCGATTTACAGTTGAGGAATACAACAAGCGATTTACCACAAGATGACAATAAACACGAGAAGTGCATGTTATACAAGGTTTCAGTCATCGTTCAAACTAGTAAAAGCTAGGACTGGAAGAGATAAAGCAGACAACCCTTGGACAACAGACATATAATAGTCTACAGATCAGTCCCATCACTGAGATCTATGATCCTGTGTGTGAGAGAGAACGTGTGTGTATTTGTGTTGTAAGCTAAATAGCAGGATAAGCACCATTTTTTACTTCATATTTCACACTAATCTGGCGTCCTAAAATATCAGAAACTTATTGCATTTCATTCCTTTCACATGACTGAATCCGTTGCACTAATGCATAATAATAATAGTAATAATAATACATTCCTGTTAAATAGATTAATCAAATACAAATCATTATTGTATCATTTTACTTTCTTTGTTCAACTGTTGGACAGATTTCAAGTAATATATTCAAAACTAGATTTGTTCTTCTTACATTTGTCTTTGAAATCTCATATCTATATATAACATATCCATAGTTAACTGTGTCTAGATAGAAGTCTTTTTATCTGTCTTCTTGTGTTTGAAAGTAACTGGAATCAGAATAACTTCTGTGTTTTAGCTTGACCAATAAAACTGATTCTGAGTAAATGTTGTTTTAATAAAACACACAGCACATCTTGCTATATTTTAGTACAATAACTGACAAGGACTCAAATGTAAATTTAGGCAACTTAGGAAGATCTGGAATATGAACTTAATTAATAAACAACTAAAGCTACAGTCCTTTTGTAAATCAGGGTGTCATTTTTATGTTTTTCTTTTTTTGTTAGTCAATTTAAATATTGCAATAGGTAACTGTTTTCACCTGTTATGACATAAATTATTATGAATTTCAGTGTTGATGTTACACTTAAAGTGTGAATTTTGAACAGGTTTTATGTGGAGATGTCTAATTGAGATGATGACTAAACTTCTCTCTGTTTGTGTCTCGGTCCGCAGGAACACACTCTCTGAGATATTACTACACTGCTATGTCTGGAGTCAGTGACTTCCCAGAGTTCACAGTGGTCGGTCTGATTGATGAAGGGCAGTTTATATACTTTGACAGCAAGACAAAGGAAGCTGTGCCGAAGACAGACTGGATGAAACAGAATGTGGGAGCAGATTACTGGAACAGACAGACTCAGATTTTCACTGGCGGCCATCAGAGCTTCAAAGTCGACATTCAGACCCTAAAGGGACGCTTCAACCACTCAACAGGTAAGTTGGTAACAAACCCACCTACACACACAGCAAAAGCCATTAGTTTTACTTGCCAGTGAAATATGTCTTCCCACAGTGGTGTGTGTGTGTGGGGGGGTTCTAGTTTTGACTATTTTACATGCTAATGATATAGTGTTAGGAGTACAGCTACCATTAACATACCATTTACAATATCTTTTATTTTTATTTTATTTTATCAGTATTTAAAACGTGTTTGTTAAATAAACACTAATATCCACTGAGGACAGAAATGTTCACCTTTGTCTTTTTATTGTACAGTAAGGTAGTGATATTTTTAATATTTCACATTGGGACACTTTTACAATTCAGTCATATTTATGACTCAAACATTGTATGTTTCAGTTTTGGCAAAGGTGGTAAAAGCAGAACAAACAGAGACCCACACACACATATTCTCACACACATCCTATTGTCACATGACATCCTCTGCAGTGAATCAGTCAACAGCGGCTCTGATCGATTCAGTCAGTGAGTGATTCAGTCAAACCCATAATTTTTTTTTCTGTTACCCAGAACATCCTAGCAATTTACTAGCAAATGTGTGAGCAGAGGTCGTTTAGATGAGATGAAAATATTAGAATTTGTTTTAAAATTATTTTAATGGAAAAAAATTATCATAGTTATTGCATAAATATTAATTAGTACCATGAAATTCTCTCAAAATACAAAATATAAAAGAAAAAATATTATTAAACAAAAATATATTACATTGCTTTTACTGAAAATAGAAATGTGTGAGCAGAGATGCTTTAGATGAGATGAAAATATTAGGAGAAAAATTTATTATTTTCGATGGGGGAAAAAATTATCATAATTATAGCGTAAATATTCATTAGTACCATGAAATTATCTCAAAATACAAAAGAAAAAATATTATTAAACAAAAATATATAACATTGATTTTACTGAAAAATAAAAGTTACATTTCAGGTGTTCAAACTTCACGCTTTTAAAAGTGATTCAAATGTAAAACTACTTCAAACTTCAAGCTTTTTAAACTGCTTTCTCAAGCAACATAAAGTTTGTCTTGTCAATATTTTTAATCTAGTTTTTCTTTTGTAAGAAATGAACTGGTTCTGCTTCAGAAACAGAGGAGAAAAAGTTAAATATGTGAGCAGAGATGCTTTAGATGAGATGAACATATTAGAATTTTTTTAAAATTATTTTCAATGGGGAAAATGTATCATAATTATTGCATAAATATTAATTAGTACCATGAAATTCTTTCACAATGCAAAAGAAAAAATATTATTGAACAAAAATATATTACATTGATTTTACTGGAAATTTTAAAACGTTAAATTTCAGGAGTTCAAACTTCAAGCTTTTAAAGACAATTCAAATTTAAAACTAGTTCAAACTTCAAGCTTTTTAAACTGCTTTCTCAAGAAACAGAAAGTTTGTCTTTCAATATCTTTTTAATCTCGTTCTTCTTTAGTAAGAAATGAACTGGTTCTGCTTCAGAAACAGAGGAGAAAAGGTGAAATATGTGAGCAGAGATGCTTTAGATGAGATGAAAATATTAGAAAAAATAATTGTATTATTTTCGATGGGAAAAAATGTATCATAATTATTGCATAAATATGAATTAGTACCATGAAATTTTCTAAAAATATTATTGAACAAAAATATATTACATTAATTTTACTGAAAATAAAAAAAGCTGACCTGCTGAACTTTAGTGACATTAAAATGCTGTTTTAATACTGCAGGAATACAGTTGTGATACAAAAGGAAATAAAACACATGCTTTTCATTTAAGACCTAACAACTAAATAGCAACACCCTAGCAACCACCCAGAACACCATAGCAACATCCTAGCAAACACCTAGCAACCGCACAGAACACCCTAGCAACTTCCTAGCAACCATCCAGAGTACCCTATCAACTGCACAGTAACTGCCTAGCAACCACATAGCAATCTGTGTCTGAAAAGCTGGCACGAAATGTTCAATGTTTTTTACTCACATGTGACACGAAATGTTGGATGTTTTTTACTCACATGTGACACAGATCAGATGTTGCACAAGAGTAAACAGAAAAATCCGCACAAGATCTGATTCTTTCGCATCCGTTCTGAGTCGCTTTCAAATGTGGTTTTAAATAAGATACATATCCAGTATCTGGACATCTGACCTGCATCTGAACACATAAATCTGATTCCACTGGAAATAGCTCACATTGATTTTTACTTTCATCTTTTACTGAATAACCTCGAACTATTAGATATTTTGATGTTGTGAACTCAGCATACGCACAGACACAAGATTCATGTTTATATGCAGACATATTTGTCTGTTCACTTTTCCTGGATGCTTGTATATTTTAGTACCAACCAGTTCCATGAGCTAATCATAATTGCTCTCATCTTTATGTGGATGTTTGGTTTTGTGTAGAAAAAGAAGAGTGGAATATGTTCTGCTTAATCAACAAGTCTTAAAGATTGTATTAGAGGAAATGAGGAATGGTGAGTGATATAATAATCTGTGTTGGCTTTCTCTTCTCAGGTGTTCACACGTACCAGGTGATGTACGGCTGTGAGCTGCAGGATGATGGCACCAAACGAGGATATGAGCAGCATGGTTATGATGGAGGGGACTTCATCAGCCTGGATACGAACTCCTTCACCTGGACTGCTGCTAATCCTCAAGCAATGATGACCAAGAACAAATGGGATTCCACTGGAGCATACGCAATGAAGCAGAAAGCATATCTGCAGAACACATGCATCGAGTGGCTGCAGAAGTATGTGGGTTATGGCAAGGACACTCTGGAGAAAAAAGGTAATAATATGAGTTTCTGGGTCACTACAGAACACTGCATAGTGAGTGTTTATCATAACTGCATTCACATCTTTAGCTAGAAACAGAGCATGTTCATGCTTCATTAAAAACATTCTACTTAAAAATGAGAACAGGATGTAAAAGCCATACATGAGATATTTATGGTATAAACCTGCATATTTTACATCTTGGGCATCACTGGAGTATCTGTACATTATCTAGTTTAAGAAGTGTGCTGCCAGAAAACAGATAATATACAATAAAGTGAAAAATATGTATTCCTTAGCATAATGCTATATTATTATTATGCATAGTTTGGCATTTGTTAGGGGTTTTTATCATACAACAACACAACATATAAGTAAATCGAATTTTGTGAAACAATAACCCAAAAAGAACTTAAGACTTTATTGTGTATGCACACAGTGAAAAAAAAGGTTATAATTATCTGATAAAGCTATTGATATGAACTGTGCTCAAAATTACAACAGATTATAAGAAGAAATGTATAGCAATTATTTTATTGAAATGTTGGAGGCTTTGTCTAATTTTCTTATTCAATCCCACTTCATCATTTTTAATCATCTTCTCTCTTCAGTCTCTCCTCAGGTGTCTCTGCTGAAGAAGTCTTCCTCCTCTCAAGTCGTGTGTCATACTACAGGATTTTACCCCAAAGAAGTAACAATCTCCTGGCAGAAAAATGGACAAGATCATTATGAGAATGTGAATCTTGGTGAACTTCTTCCTAATGAGGACGGGACCTTTCAGAAGATGAGCACCATCACAGTTACAGCTGATGAGAGGAAGAACAACAAGTACAGCTGTGTGGTGGAGCATCAGGGCAAAACCATGGAAGAGATCCTGACAGAGGGTAAGAGTGATTAACTATGGCAAGACTGTCTTGATGAGTAGACCATGAGCAATGTTGATGGAGATCATTTGCTTTACTTCTGCAAACATAATATATCATGCACTGTATTATTAGCCTATTAGTTGGTGCCATCACTGTCACAGATTCTGTATCTTCTGAAATGTTCCACCTGTACAGGTTTCTAACATTGTCAGGCTCATTAGTGATCTGATGTTTTTATCTGCTCATATTCTTCAGATTCTCTTCCCATCGGCATCATTGTTGGTGGTGTTGTTGCGGCTGTCCTTGTGTTGGTGGTCATTGCTGTCGTTGTGTTTAAGGTGTTGCAGAAAA